GCCCCCCACCTCCCCCCATCTCCCCCCTCACCCCCCAAAGGCGATGACGAAGCGCTGCAGCCGCCGCCGTTCGGGGGCCCCGAAATCCCCATAGAGGAAAAAGGTTTTGTCCTCAAAGAAATCTGGGGTCACAAAGGTCAGAGGTCAAAAGGGAGGGGGGGGTGGCAAAGGGAGGTCAAAGGTCATGGGGTCGCACCGGGCAGCGGGGGGATGGGGTCGTCATCGCTGTCGGTGTTCTCCTCTGTGGAGCCGCCATAGGGGTCATCGGGGGGCACCGAGGTCACCCTGCGGGGTCACGGGGTCAGCCAGGGGTCAGAGAGTCACATGATCACCCAGGGGTCACTCAGGGTCATAGAGTCCACCATGGGGTCACCACAGGGTCACAGGGTCACTACAAGGTCACCCAGGGGTCACTCAGGGTCACTGAGGTCACCACGGGGTCACCGTGGAGCCATTGCGTCACCCAGAGTCACCATGGGGTCACTTGTGGGGTCAGTGTGGGGTCACCATGGGGTCAATGTAGGGTAACCGTGGGGTCATGGGATCACGGCGGGGTCATGGGGTCACGGCGGCGTCATGGGGTCACAGCAGGGGTCATGGGGTCACGGCGGGGTCATGGGGTCACGGCGGGGTCATGGGGTCACCACGGGGGTCTCACCGCTGCAGTTCGTCCTCTGTGTCCCCAGCGCTGTCCTCGGCGTCACCTGGGGGGGGAACTGAGATGAACTGGGAGGGGGCGGGGCTAAGGCAGGGAGGGGGCGGGGCCATCGCAAACCCCTCCCACCTTTCGGAGTGTTGCCATTGGACGAGGGTGGTGTTGGGGGGCGGGGCTTAGCCGTGGCTTCACCACCCTTGTGAGCCGGGCGCGTGGTGGGCGGGGCTTCCGTTGGCTCCTCCTCCCCATCGCTGCCGGAAGAGGTGGAGCCGTCCAGGAGGTACCTGCCGGAAACGGGGCGTGGTCAATGGAGGCTCCGCCCACTTAGGGGGCGTGACTCCATATGGCCGCACCCACTGCCTCCATAGAGCTCCAGCGGCGCCACATGGAGCCCCCAGACCCCAAAAGGAGCCTCACAGACCCCGCAGCCTCCATAGGGACCCCCCCC